TGCTCGAGACCAGCTTAAATTTATCCAATGGCTGTAGGATTTTCGGGCTGAGAAAGGATAGCCCAAGACACGCGAATTAAATGTAAGTAATGCATGTATTCTGGACGTCACTTGATACACACACAACTAAAAAAAAATAACAAACTTGAATTAGTGTCCTAATCAGCTTGGTATTGGAAGCGGGGATGTGGTTTTCAATAATACACTTATATTAAATTTAACGAGCATATTTAATAACTAAAGTGATGGGCATGGTTGATAGATGATAACATGAAATTTATTACAAAGTTAAAGATGCGACCTTTCTTTTAATTTTGATGGTTGATACGACACTAAATAAACTGGTTAGGCCGCTATAAATGCCGATGCTGATGGCACCTTTCTCCCAATTATTGTCCTATCGCATTTTAGCGGGAGTAAAGCTGGTGATTACCACTGTGGTTCCGGCAGTAGAACACATCCAGTTAGTGGTGGTGTAGACCGACTGGTAGGGGCGGGTCGCCCCGGACAGCTGCAGCCAACGTCGCCGCTGTCTGCCTTGCTCAGGCCGGACCCAAGGATGGAAGCCCCGACCTCAGGCACCCACGATTTGCGTCAGCGATGATTGATTGGAATTCATCTAATTCTGGAACCGGGCGATCGGACGGCCCACTACCGTAGCGCGGGCTAAGCCGGCCTATGGTACGTAATTGAGTGCAACTGCGCACCGATGACTGGCATTGACGTGCGAGTGCAGCTCACGGCCACCGAGAATAATTTCCAAGTGCCAGAAACTGTCTCTCGAATGTTACTGTTTTTGGAGCTGAACCTCCCTTCGCGAGAGAGAGTGGCGGGGCGGGGCTCCGACCAATTACTCGACGATTTGTTGTTTAGCGCTGCGGGCGCAGTCTCTTCGCGGTCGGCGAGAATGTCGTTATGACCTAAATCGCCGGGGTTGCACGTGCGCGTCAAAATTAGTTGGGTCGTAAACTTTTCGTTCAAGTGGGTGCGATTGCAGGCGGACTACTTGAACACGCAGTCTCGTGGAGGAAGGACCGCCCGTCCTATGTGCTCGGCGCGGCGGCAGCACAGAAGGCCATAAACGACCCAAGTCTCACTATAACAGAGATGAGGGGCGCGTGTTCAGGTATTACTCGCGCAACTTTTCTTGAACGATGACCTTGATCCCCCTCCCTTGTGCAATAAACAGTTGAAGACAAAAGCTCGCAGCGGGCACTGATGACAACGTTCTAAGCATTAAAACTTCCTTGGCGCGAAACAGAAGCTAGTCAAAGCCAATTGCTTTCATAGTGCAGAATCCCTGTTCAGGTTTATTGTCAATATCGAAAGAAATGGCTGAGTCAGGTCCAGGTCCTTCAAGGGAGTCACCTAAAACTCCCGAAAAAGTTAATCAGAAGATGCAGTTTTGACTTTCATTTCACAGACGTTGGCTTTACTTAAAATACTCTAGTGGCCGACTCTGTAACTAATATCCCCACTCCACCCGAAATCGTCAATCCATCGTTCAAGAAGTTGCCCGATACCGCCTTTTCAACGGCCGCTGGCCGTGCTATTTGCCAATGTTTTAATTCATAATAGAACTTTCAGGGCTGTAATCGTACAATTCACTATTTTGTAATGTAATATGATTATTCTTGTTATAAATAATAAATCTATGATATTCCTTTTAACAAGACTGTGTCATTATTTGTACCATGTAACACAAAATTAATACCGATAGTAGATTAATTTGATAGAATAAACAATAAACAAAAATACAAAATTCACACACTATCAGCAAACTATAGGACTGAAGCAAATGGTGGTGGTTCACGAAATAGTATAAATAATTTTAAAGCATGCAGACAATTGTGTCAAAGAACGTACAGAACGTTGATGTGTTTACTTTCTAGCGTTGTCAATATTTGCAGAAGACGCACAAAACCCGCTTTGCTACGCCGCGTCGCTAGATCACCGCGTGGTGACTGGTAAAACGCGTTTGCCGAAGCTCGCTTAAATTTAGAACTAAATTTTGAGTGAGCTTAACAAAGCAGTGCTTAACGAAATATTGGTGAAACCGATCCCTAACTGCAGAACAGTGTGATCCTTTCGACACACGCCTTGTTATTAACGTGGTCGTTGAAAAACTATAAGAATTCAGTTGGTGCATATCAAATATGTTCCAACACATGTCAACTGCAAGATTAAACGTTGATTCAATTAATTTTACTTATTTAATGACTTGCCCTTGAAATCCTAACAAAGTATAACACTTCGGGGCCCAGAAATAATACGAATTTTCTTTTAAGTTTTTAACCAACTCTTATTAAACGCAATTTCACAAAGAAATGCGTAGGCATATACTTCAGTATTATACGCGCGCGTTTTTTTTGAGCCCTGGCATATCTACCCCTACTCCTTTACTAAAGTTAGTTGAATTCAGAATAAATGATAGCCACAAGTTTTATTGACGAACTCTGATAACCAGAAGTATTTGCTCCCTTCTAATAGAAAATAGTTTGCTTCGAAAAACGAGCTACAGATTTCATATAATAGCCCTGTCAATAAAATAATCAGATCCCCCGTTCCCCTCGCATCTAACGAAATAAGGGCTCAAGAAAACGTGCGGGGATAATATCTTTCTGTAATTTCTTTTGGTTGACCTCCACCAAGATCGCTAGCTGTATGCGCGCGCATCCCCAACTACCCAAAACAGGCTGCGCTATTGTCTAAATACGTACGTAGATACTGTGGTGTAACCATGGATGTTGATCAATGATGTAACCATAGAGTGACATCTATTTATTCATGGTATAACTTTCTGTACTTAGAACGATGTAATAATGAAAATGTTTTCTTTTAACATTATATATCTTAAATGCACCATTGATAAATTTCCATTCTTTTGATCTCGTTCTCCTTAACAATTAACGTTTCTTCACAGCTGTCTTTAGATTTATTTAGATTAGATTTATGCAGTAAAAAATGTATGTGACGTATGGGGGAGAAATTCATCTGCGCACGTTTTCTTGAGTTCTAGAATCCCTTCCCTTGATTTTATCTATAAATAATTATAAAAAGCTTGTAAACTTGAAAGATGAATAAAAGTTGAAGATAAATAAATATAAATAGAATTAAAAAAATGTGCGAGATTAGCAACATTTGAAAAACTACACATTTTCGTTCCCGAGTTATCGAAAACTTATTTGCTACGGTAAACGAACTGTCGATTTGATTTTTCTGTATTGCGAACAAAATAGTAACTCGTCCTTACCTCTACTCCTACCACTACAAGCAAAAGGAGAATTCAAGAAAACGTGCGCATAGTGATGCTACATTTACGTCCAGAAGCAAAATAAGGAGCCATTCCAGCATTTGCTCAATGTATCAAGGAAACTGAACGAAAACCTGATCGAGATGGGGGTCATCGACCCGGAAGCTGAATTATATTATTTTTTACAAGCATATTGCCTTTTTTTTAAATGTAAATGTAAAATAATTCATCATATATCACTTCTTGTTAAAATAAACAATATTTTTCTTTTTGATAATCAGTATAGTATCTAATTGTATAGAAACAGTTATCTAGCAGAAAATATTTTACTTTTAACTTAAAATTACGTACCTTCTTCAATTGTTTAATGTCATCTTGCAATGCAAGATTCCATTACTAGGTAAGATTTTAGCTTCAATTTTGGAGCCTTGCAGTGGAAAGTGGCAGCTAATATTTTGGATATAGGATTCTGATAGTGCATTGCGTGTGCCATAATTTCGAGGGGTGTTTCTACATGAAGGATCTGTTACTTTGTAAGGGGACTCTCGAAGTAGTTTGACGCCGTCACAGATGGGGAAGTCCCTTCTCGTATATAGTCTGTCCTCTTCTGTAGATCCCCTTGGCGTGGCGTCTGCTGTGTTGTGCGAATGCCCTGCTTGGGCGTTTCGTCACACTATTAGTTATTATAAAACAAATTTGAAACTTCTGAAATCGCACTATTTATTATTTCTGTTTTGTAAAGAACATTCGTGTCATCGGCAAGCAGAACCTTTCTTCGGTTTTTAATAGAAGAGAGTATATCGTTTACGTGTAACAAAAAAATGATAGGACCTGAAATCGAACCTTGCGGATCCCCATACTCAATTGGTAAATAATTGGAAAGATAGATTTTACAACTTGAAAGAATTCGTAGATCTAATTTGAACACACTGTTTATTAGGAGCAAAATAATTCACAAACTTGTTTACAGTAGCGAAGCATTCACACTTCTGCTGTTTTCTAAGACTCGCAACTTTTTTACGTTGTGTCTACCAACCTTACACCTGTTAATTTTCTATTAACTGATGATTACTTTAACAGTACATACTGTCCTTTCGTGCCAGTATGGTATTTCTACTCTGCGATCGATATTTAAGGTACGAGGTTATCCAATCTAGGCGGATACCACAAATTCCATAAGAAGGTAATTTTGATAGCAAGATATAATGGTCAATAACGTCAAAAGCTTTCGAAAGATCTAAAAATATTCCAATGGGTGCTTCATTTTAGTTCATTGATGAAGCAAGATCTTGAAGAAAAAATATGGCAGTTTCCATAGATTTTATATGAGTCTGAAAATGCTTCATTTTTCCTGAGAAAAGTTTTCATTTGCGTTTAGAAAAGTTTCTCTAATATTTTTGAGAAAACTGTCAAAAGAGAAATTTGCTGGTAATTTTGAATTTCATATTTGTTCTCTTTTTTAAAAAGTGACTTATTTTTGCTGGTTTGAAAATATCTGCAAGTATACCCGCGCATAAAGATGCATTTTCTCTTCGGAGTTTAATAAAAAATTAACACTAGTAAGTTTTATGTGAGTGAAAATATGATTTCTATAAATTTCTTATTATAACCGTCTTGGGTAAACCTATTTGCGTCACCCTCGGAAGTTCTCCCGGTGAGGCTTTTTGCTTTAAACATGAATTCTGTGGTCGCCAGAAACGCTCCTGACGGGCATATGTAAAAGTATGCGTGAGCCATCTCTTCTTCATTGTCGGTGGACATTGGATCAGTGTTATTTCTAGAAGATACGACCAATTGTCCCGGAAAAAAGAGCAGGGTAGGAACGCGTCGCCTGTTGGTAAATTTCCTCCATTTTGTAAGAGAAATTGTATTTAAGAATAAAGAAGGCGCTTCGATTGTTATATTTATAAATTTTATTTGGAATCGTTCACGTTTTGCGAGTGAAACTTGAAGATTTAGGGCAAGAAATTCCTCAAATAGTGAAAGTCCGCTTCAGGAGATCGTAAGGTCATTTGGACAATCTGCCGTCAAGAGGCAAAGAAATGAAAAGGGAATCGGAGGGTAAGTGTTTTTGTTTTGTATTCTGACAATATGGAAGTACTTCAGGGCATGCAATATAATTTTCTGTGTAGAAATGAGTTCATATTTTATTTGTTTAAAGAAATGTTTCTTTTTGGTGAGATGAGAATGGCAATTAGTACAAGGGAATTATATTCACTCGTTATTTATAAATTTCAAATTATTTTTATTGTTACATATGGAAGTCTGGATCCACACAAATTTGTAAATTTATTTTGGGGTTAGTAACTTCGAAAGATAACGTGGAGCAATGAAACCTAGTAAGTCTTGTATTGTTGTGGAATTCATGTATCTTTCTTTTCACTTCAACTTTTGCCCTAGAATTGTTCTGTAGAACAAACTATTTTGTTGGTATTATTAAATATATACCAATGATCACTTTAGCTTATTATTGCTTGCAGGAATTCTAGTGCAATTGTACTGGAAGCTTTATTTTGCATTCTTAGTAATCATTGGTACATAATTCAATTCAATTTATAATTGTTAGTGTAAAAGAAGATTACACTTTACCATTTAAACATTATGCTCTCTAAGGTTAGCTCACCTGAAAGCGGATTTAATATTGAGGCACCCCACTACTGTGGGAGGCCTTGCCCAACACTGGGATCAATGGCTTTATTATTATTATTTAAAGTTTTTTTTATTGGTTAATTTTGTGAATATACTGTACTTCCATGCCAGTTTTCTTCTGTTTCTTAACTCTTCCCAAGACTAGTTTTACAGCTGGTAATCCAATACCTATGATAACTTTTTTCATTGCAGAAAATGCTTGGTCAGAAAACTCAATTGTTCGCTGTCATCATTTGCCATCATTGTTGCTTTGATGTTTTACACAATCAGGATCTAATTGAGTCACTACTAGTCTGATGTTTGCTGGAACAAGGGAATGCTCATATAAATGTTAATGCTCTTTACCGACCAACCTTTTGAGACCACAATCTTGTGTTGGAAGTTCACATTCAGAATGGTTGAAATGGTCATAATAGCAGAAGTGAATTAAAAGTACTATAATTTTGAAATTACTAACTAGGAATAGGTCTGTTTTTGTTTTTAACCAAGATGTATTCAATTAGTTTTGAACAGTTAGTGTGAATTACAATAATAATTCAGCTTAAGATTCTCCTCTGTTGTTGAACATCACATTTATTTAATATTTCCAATCAAGATGATGAAAAATATTATTTTGGAAAGGTGATGCAATCATTTTTTTCCGCAGACATATTTATCTGAGGAGGGAAAAAAAACACACACACACACACACACACACACACACCTGGTTAATGGCAAAGTTTGAAACTAAATGTTGGTGAATGAAATGAAGTAGATGGATTAAAATAGTTAAATAACTTTTGGAGTTTTCCCCTTCTAATTTATTATTTCTGCAAATATATTAGTGTGATATTGTAAGATTGTTCATTGTGAAAGATTTTCTTATTTAAATTTTACAAGTAAATACCATATTATTTGTACATGTTTACATGTGCCATGTAAACATGCATATATTTGTGTTAACAATTCCTGAAATTAAATTAATAACATAAATACAGACCTGTTGATTTCAGAATAAACCTTTTAATGGCTGACTACTTTGTGTTAAGAATTTCTTTGCATTTTCATGAAAATTAAATTGATATGAACTGAAATTTTCTGCTATAATTGCTCAAGCATTTCATTCATTCATTTTACAGATTTTGCCAGTATGTTCGTGAATAAAAAAACGTCATTGTTAAGCTAATTTTCAAATTTTGTTTGTGGAGAGTGGAAAGCTGCTTCATGGTAGAAAGTACTTCAATTACCGTGTGGTCTTGAAGTTTTATTATTATAAAGCTGTCAAAACTGGATCATATGTCAAATATGTAAAATAGAGGTCCTGTTTCCCGCAAAGTGTCGTTTTTATTGAATCTCAATGTCCTTTGTTTTTTTCACGTTCAGGTGATAAGGAGGAGCGGCGGAAGCGAAGGAAATCTCGTTGGGGTGGGGATGAGAAGGAGAAAACCTTCATTCCTGGTATGCCTACTGTCTTGCCCACAAATCTGAGCAAGGAACAAGAAGAAGCATATTTAGGTGAGCTAAGATCATTTGAATTGACATTTTATTAAGGACATTGAGATCAGTGGATTTTTATCTAGCTTATTAGGTAATGGTTTGTTTTTATATATAATAGTTAACGGTGAGAAATATACATATAGTGTGGTCCATGCATATTTTCCACTCCCACAGGGTTAGAATAACCTGTTCTTTCTTTCGTTGTTTCTTTCAGTGTTTAGTTTTTACTTTTTGCAGTGCTGCCTAAATTCACGTTAAGCATTTTGTGAGTAATTTGTTTCATGTTGCCTCCTTAAAGATTTCATTCTGTTCCAAGTGTTCAAGCAATTTTAACATGTTGACCGACAATATTTTATTGAAAAATTTTCATTTGTAACAGTCGGAACAATTTTTTTTTTAAATTTTTTTATTTATTTTTGCGAAAGACCATTCCTCTATAATTCTAGCACTATTTGTATGAATAATGCTTCTGGAGTTTAGTCAAGACCTTTTCTTCTAATTTGGTTAATATTGTAATCAAGAAATCAGACTTAGTGATTGTAATATATATTATTTTTCTTAGATTTTTCAGTAGGTATCTAATAATTTTTGACTCCATCATAAAGCAAGTGAGATTTAGGGAATAAAGTACTTTTTAGAACTATAATTTGTATTTTATTAAAAGTATCTAAACTTTTTCTACACGTTTTAGAATTGTTTCTGTGATGGAACAGGGTATCAAAAGTGATACACTAAAAGTGATGAAAATTGTTAATTGATCAGAAATATTTAATGTAATAGTGCAACATGGAATAGTTGCTGTGTTTTATCTGCAAGTTACGCCCAAAATATTTAAATCTTTAGGAATCTCGGATACTGTCTTCCCCATACTTTTCAATGCCCTATTGTGTTTTTGGTCAATGCTTAGCTGCTTATAAAAAGTTAACTGTTTATTCATTACTCAGTTCTGACTGTGTGTGGTTCTTAAGTTTATTGATGCTACAGCTTGTTAAATTTGAGTTGTGTGGAGAAAGCACAGGGGGGTACTTTCCACGAAGCCTCTCAGACATTTAAAAAAAATTGCTCTAAATATTTTGATTAAATTTTGTTGTTGAAAAAAACAAACAACAAAATTGAAAATAGAGATTTTTCCTCATAGTCTGTAGTACTAAACTAGCTCTTTAGAAAAATGAATAGTTTTGCGTATTTTACCTTTGAAATTATCACAATTTTTTTCTCCAAAAGTGCACCAATTTTTTTCTTGTAAGTTTGTATGCTTATTTAATAAGGGATAGTAAAAATTATGGTGTTAGTCCCATTTTCAGGTATTGCTCTGTTTTTTGAAAATTGAAGAAAGTTTTTAAAAGTACAAAATTGAGGGTAAAGTTTTTTTGCCTTAGACAAAGTATGTTGTACTAAATTAATTCTTTAAAAAAGATCGTGTACAATTTTTGAAAAAAAAATAGTAGTTCTTGGGTAATTTGCACTTTAAATTAAGATTTTTTCTCAAAAACTACTCCAATTTTTTCTTTAAATTTTCTTCTTATATGTAATATGTAGGGGCGGATTTTGATGACCCAAAACATTACCCAAAATTATCTATAAAATCCTCTTAAAATGTTTTTAAACTGCCCTAAAAGCAAAGAAAAATGTCAGGAAAAATGTGATCAAAACCAGTTCAGGGGGAACAACTCAAGCTGTAGGATTTGTTACTGATGTAAGCGAGGCTTCTTCCTTACGTTCAAGTTAACTTAGCTCGCAAACGTTTGGTTTGGATATTATTTACCTGGAAATCTGTGCCTTTATTTAATGTGAAATTGGCCAAACCGACAATAGCCCTAATAGACATCATAACAACCACAGAATACATTGGATTTATCCTTGCTGACGTTAAAAAATATGACAAAGAAATTGTATAGTCTGCTCAGGAGTTCCATGGAGAATATATGTTGCATTTTGAAATATTTGAAGCAAGTACAAGTAAAATATTGAAATCAATAAAATTAGTTAAAATGCTGGGTAATGTGATCATTCTTTCTCATCCTTGTCTTATTCTCACCTGTTACATGTACACTTTTACTCTTACTTGCACTATACCACTACACTGGCCATGATTCAGGTGAATAGCCTAGCTGGTTCCAGCTGAGGAAGTGCCTTGCTAGTAGGAGATATCTGGTTGGGAAAACTGCGGCAAGCTGACAGGTTGATTGGCGTCTGATCTCGCCATCCAACAGGAAATTCAATGCCACCTCCCGAGATTAAAAAAAGCATTCACTCCCTTTACAGGACTAATGAACTTAGCAGTAGACATGCCCAGAATCATCATGTAGAAAACATGATTGTAAAGGGAGAACCCAGAGCGAGTAGGAGGTGCAAAGGTTCCACAATTTACAAATGCAAATAAAAGGCAATGTTAATCTTCATTCAAACTGTTTTCAGTCGTCTCATGTGTCAAAATGAATTGATATCCCCTGTTGTTCCAAGCTGCAACATTTTGTTGTTCATTAACTATTAGATTGAAAAAAATATAAATGAGTTTTTTATCCTTTCTAGTGCAATATTTGAGTATTTCAATGCTTGGGCCTTAATGAGTTAATTAAAATGTTTAATATGATACTCTAAATATCAATATCTATTTCATCTTTATGATCTTCAATATACAATCATCTAATTTCCCAAATCCTTTTCAAGACATTCACACATAGTGTTCCATTTTATTTCGAATGGTAACAGTTTCCATCAGCCTGAAACTTATTAAATTTGGCTCTGGCAAAATTATTATTTCTAAAATACTTTACCACTTGTCCAACATGTTTAGTAGCTGTTGGATTTTCAAAATCTTTTGCCTGCAAGTTTAAAAAATGTGCCGCACATCCATAAGAAATAATTCTATGAATAGATATTAAAATAAACTTTCTTGTAAGAAGCCTGTTTGCAGCATTGTCTGTAAACACTCTTCCAACTACATATTCATATAAAGTTTCAATTTTTTAAATAGAATCACAAACTATTCCTTCTAAATAGTCCCCAGAGATAGGGTGGCTGGAAGACAACATATAAAGTCATCAGTGGAGTCAGCTAAATATGCTTGTTCATAATTGGTGGTGAGACAAATACTTACAAATGGTTCATTGTGCATGTGTGCCCACCCATAAATGCCCCCCC